AGTCGTAGTGATTAAACGGAAACTAACAATTTCTACCAACTCGTGCCGACTCTTTGGAACGTACCACACGAAGAACATTGTATCTCATCTGAATGCGTAGATATGCATTTAAACTTATAAAGATAGTATAGTATTTTTGTCTCCAAACCGTACACCTGCATAAGAAGACGGGAAAAGGGCTGTGTAGATATGAACTGACACCTATAGTGCAGGGTTAAGAGCTGTACATGTATACATGTTTACCAAACCTCAGTGCATCCCCCAGGATCGTATGATACAATGAGGTGGTACATACATATGGGCACGCCAATGAGGGGCCGCAGATGAATGAAAATTCGAATTAGCTGGCATTTGATCGGTCGATAGAGTCTTTTATTTATAGGGTATGGGTTTCGCTCAGTTTTGGCCTTTTGGGTTGTTTTGATACTGAATGACCATAGCTTCCTGAAATAAGGACATTGATTTTAGGAGGCAATGGATGAAATATAAAAAGAAACCGTAAACGAGAAACCAACCCAAATATGGATTCAGCGCCGCCAACAAGTAATCAGATCGACCAATCAACTTCCAGATATTATGACTTCTCATTCGTTTCTGGCCCCTCAGCCCCACGTCGCAAAGCGTTGCACAACGCCAGTGACACTGACACTGACATCAAGATATTCGCATTACCAACTGATGTTGTACAGCATGTCGTACATGCGTTGTTGGGTTTAGGGTTTTAAAGCTGTACACCAAATCCTACGCATCTGTAGTGTAACGATGACAAGCGAGAGAAGAGATACTTTGAGGGCTTTTAGAGCACATACGGTGATACTGGTTGTGAGTGTATAATGGCATACGCATATACGACACATATATACGTACACTGTCACCATTGCATACGGTAGTGTTGGTGTGCGTATGCATGTACATGTATGCATGTACACGTATGCATATACTGTATGTATGTGTGCATGTACACGTATGCATATACTGTATGTATGTGTGCATGTTATCGACTACGTACGTGCGATGTCAATTACTACACCACACATTTACCAAATGTGTGGGTAAGCTCAGGGCCTACTAAATATGACGGGCCCTACAACGATTGAAGAAAAAAAATGGGGTGAGGGGGATAATTTCCTCAATAATTACGTTTTGTGGTTTAAGGCTTCAATTTTGTCCACTTTCCTCAACTTATTCGAAAAATGTAACCTTTGGGAAGCTTTGAACCCCTCGAAAAACATTTTGTCTTGGGTCTGTCATATTTGGTATGCTCGGCAAAGCGATGACACAATTGAAACCTCCTTTGAAGAACCCAGGTTTAACTGATACTATCTGCGTATACTACCACCAAGTCCTAAAGCCCAGGTTTAACTAGTACACTTCACATATGGACCAACCCGGTATGCACTATCACACGCACGCACCAACTCTGTACATCTCCTTCCATAGTGTAACCTGAAGTAATCAGGCATGCTGCTGTGTAAATACTTTTATATTCACATGCAGTTGCTACACCATACGTACACTAATACAACAGATAAGCTCGACGGCATGGTATTAGAAGGAGAATACTCCTGGGTCACTCGGGTTGTACTACTTCCAGGGTTTTACTAGCCATAAAACCCTAAAACCCCTTCCTCAGGTTATAAGCACGACTGGCGAAATCACACTGTGTATATGCACTAGCAAGTGTATGCGACACAGACATACCTACATGTGCATCTATCTGAGATTCATATCGCCACATCACACCACACTACACACACATACCCTCATCATGTGCGTATCAGTGGCAAAGTGGCGACGGAGTGGGTTGCTTTGTTCTGTTCATGCTGTAGTGTTACTACTAGGATTTGTGGGAACTATTTTAGATATTGTAAAGGGCATACGCACTAAGAGGAACTTCAGGCATACACCTGCATATGTGTATTTACTTAAATATACATATGTATTTATATGTATTTATATGAATATGGATATATATATATATATATACCCACATGCGTTTATACATCACTAACACCCACCCTGCAGGCAAGCTGGGGAAAATGATGAAGCAGGAGGGCTATGCTTGGGTTCATCCCGTAGTGCTACTGCCAGGGTTTGTGAGTACCAGTCTGGAGGTGTGGGAAGCACATCCCGAGTGTCAGAGCTACACACCGGTGGGAGCCCGTATTTGGGGAGCCATGAATTTGGCCCAGGTATGTGGGAATGTCTTGGGTATCCTTCGTAGACACGCTTGTACCTGAAGAGGTAAGCATGCTAATGTATACGCATTTGTAGGTTTTTAGGGTTTAGGGTGTTGTTAGGGTACTCTAGACTATGTGGGTAATGTTTTGAGCATCCTTCTCAGATACGCTTATTTCTGCGGGAACAGTAGTATCTATGTCTATGCAAATGTATATATATATACATATACATATACATATATAGATATATACCTATGTATATGTATATGGATATGTATATGTGTATGTATATATGTATATAAATATATATATACATATAT